AGGGTTCTTCCCACCCCCTACACTACTGTCTAACTGCAACTCCGATTGTATGTTTCCAAGAAGTCTTTCTTGAGTCTGCCTTCTTTAGTCAGGATATGTACCTTCCATGCTCAGCATATAATAAGAGAATGTTTTTGTGGAATAAAATTATCAAATGAGATCCTTTGCCAAAGGAAAGGTGCTGTTTACATTTTCAAGTGATGATTTTTACTCTCTGTGAGTGTTCAGAAACAGAAAATGCCTGAAGCTTAAGAACTCACTAAAATCAATGAACAGTCATGAATGTCATAAGCCATTCTTGGGTTTTCACTTTTATCTTCAACCTAACAATATACCTACTTAACAGAGAGCTGCTGTCTTAATTAAAAACCTTTTAGCTTACCAAAAACAAGGTTTAGGAGAACTGATATTGGCCTCAATAGTGGAAAACAGACAGATACTATTCTACATGATTCACATATTAACTTGTTTTCATCCCCACAACCACATTGTAAAATAAGAATTTTTTTTTATCCTCTTTCTACAGATGAGCAAACCGAGACAGAGTTTAAGCAACATGCCCAAGACTGTAAATGGCAGAACTGTCATTAGGAGCAAAACTACGCTTAGACTCTCTCTGCCTTTGAACAGGATTTTGTGTGTATCACATGGGGGCTATTCCTTCAGCCCCTGCTGAGGAAGTGTCCACCAGCAAGTAAACAAACATAAAATCCAGCACTGTGGTCTATTAATATCTGAGGACTGACGGAGGCTTTTGAACTAATGGACAGAAAGCCCCTTGGCAGAGTTGCAGTGCAGCAGGATGGAGAGGATGTTTGATCTTTAAAGCATCAAACATGCAGTTTAGGCCAATGGGAGACTGACCTATTGGGGAAAATGATAAATAAAATTCAGTGGGCACAAAAATGGAAAATTATCTGTTGATGACAATGTGTATGTTAATATCCTTCACTGGATTAAACATACAGTGTACTCATGCTGAAAAATTCATTTTCTATGTTGTAAAGATATATAGTGATTGAATGGAAAAAATCGCATAAAATATATTTTAAAAAAAAAGAAATTGGATCTACGGGTTAGAATGGGACGTGAATCAAGAAAAACAAGTCAGTTTCCTCACCTGAATTTCACTTCATCTTTACCTGGCTGGTCCTGTTCTTTCTTTGTCACTATTTCTCCTTAGTCTTTAAAAGGTCATTTATCTTCCTGGGGGAAGCACCCTAAAGATGTAAGAGAAGGAGCACTCACTGCCCTGGGTAGCAGGTGGTCTGGTGGTTCTTATTTCCCTCCACACCTGCTCTGTTATGACGCAGAGCAAGTGTCTTAGGGCTTCTGTCCTTCTGCTTCCTCCCACATTCTAAACACACACACACACACACACACACACACAC